ACACGCACACACACATATATATATATATTTATTAAAGACATTTTTATTTATGTTTAACGTTGTTATTTTATAGATACAAGTATTTAAGCAAATGCTCTGTTTAAGATAAACAGTATTAAATAACATTTACCGGCCTGAATGTCCGAGAAATTTTCATAGAAAATATTCGTTCATAGACAGGATTCGAACCTGTATCCTATACGGAACTGTCATATACGCTGACATGCCTTAACCACTCGGCCACCATGAACCTTATGGTAGACAAGGTCGAATTTACTGTTATAAACTACAATCTTCCATGAATCTCGTACATTCATAACTGCTCTGGCGTATCGAATGTAAACAAATGACGTCATATGTTAAGAAATGGACATGGTCCGACAATTTATTTATTAAAGACATTTTTATTTATGTTTAACGTTGTTATTTTATAGATACAAGTATTTAAGCAAATGCTCTGTTTAAGATAAACAGTATTAAATAACATTTACCGGCCTGAACGTTAAACATAAATAAAAATGTCTTTAATAAATAAATTGTCGGACCTTGTCCATTTCTTAACATATATATATATATATATATATATATATATAAATAATCATAAACTTACAATATATAATTTTTTTCAATATAGAAAATTCTGGACAATATATTTTGTACAGATATAACATTCTTACATAAAATCTTTCGATTTTTATAATTTATTGTAATACTTATACTTTATTAATTGTTCTGATGTATTTTTCAACAATGTATTCCCTTTCATTGGCTACAATCTCCTACCAACGATTCAGTAATTGTTCAATGTTTGACGGTAGAAATCACTAGGTTTATACTCGAAACATTCATTAAGTCACTAGTCACATCTTTGTTGAATGAAACACCCCGCAAATTGTTAAAAAGCGACTGAAAAAGGTGGCAATCTAAAGGTGTTAAATCAGGGAAATATGATGGGTGTGGCAGAACTTCCCAATCGAGCTCTTTCTTTGTATGCACTCGTGTCAAGCGAGTATTACTGGCGGAAATGGAAGAGTTTGTTTGTCTTGGTCAATGCGTGTGGCACACATGTGCCGTGTTTCTGGACGTTACCGATTGAGTGAATATGATGAGTGACAGTAATATGAGAGTAACATGAGGGTTTTCCATCTTCTGAAGCAATTCCCTAGAGGTCTGGTGTCAGTCTGAATGCAGAGAGTCTATGAGCAAGAACTTCCACTGGTCGAAATAGGAAAACGATTTTTGTGGGTAATCATCTCCGTTCACAGCACAAATGACTTGAACAGCTTCGGCAGCTCGGCGACCTTGATTAAAAAGCAGAGAAGTTGTTGGTCATGTTTGTTCTTATCTACTTGGCAATAACGTTCTACAACAGTTTCACAACATAACCATAATTACTTACAAATAAAAAAATGTAAACAATATATATATATATATATATATATATATTTTATTTAAAAAGACATTTTTATGTTTAAACATTCTTTTAAAATAATTGTCCATTTAATAATGTATATATATATATATATATATATATATATATATATATATATATATATATATATACTGTTTCTGTGATAGACCATTTAATCGAAAATTATAATACAGACATGTAACTGGCAATAATTCAAAATTCTTTCGAAGATTCAGTAATTCAAGAAGAAGAAGAAGAAGGATTGTATTTCCAACTAATGAATAAATATACTTTTCATATAATTAAATGTACACACAAAGAAGAAGAAGGATTCTATTTCCAGCTAATGAATAAACATACTTTTCATATAATTAAATTTACACAAATGCATAACAACTAAAATGCATAGAAAACAGATTTAATAGAAATAAATCCCACTTATCCATTTTAATGGGTGAAAAAAGTATTCATACAATACAAAAAAGAATACATAATCTTCATTTAATACTTTATAGAATATCCATTATTCACTTCTACAGCAACCAACCTCTTTTTGTAGTTCTCAACTAATAATTTGCAAATTTTAGTTGGTATTTTGTTCCATTCCTCTTTGCATATGGTCTTCAGATCCGGGATGTTTGTCGGAGTTCTCGATTGGATTTGAATTTTCAAATAACAGCACAGTTTCTTGATTGGGTTTAAATCTGGGGATTGACTTGGTCATTTCAGGATATTTACATTATTTTCAGCAAGCCATTTCTTCGTAGATTTTGCAGTGTGCTCAGGATAATGTTGGAAGATTCAATCAGGAATAAGTTCAAGATTTTCAACCGAAATCATTAAATTTGCTTCCAAAATATTTTAATATGCTACCATCTATTACTGATATGTTGCCAGTACCTTTTGCAGGAAAACAAAATCCCCAAACCATGATGCTGTCACCACCAAATTTCACTGTTGGGACTGTGTTCGTTTCTTTGAAGGAATCGCCATCTTTCCTGCATAATGGATTTCTAGAATTACGTTCAAAACAGCACAACTTTGGTTTCGTCTGTCTATAATATTCTTTCCTAGGGATTTTTTCTTATGCTTACGTTCACGAACGAATTTCAAACTGGTATCTCTGTGTCTTTTCAATAGCAAAGGAGTTTTCCGTTGGGAGCATGATTTTTGATTGTTCCTATGAATTTCATTGCTTATTGTCCATTTAGTGACAGATATGAAAATAAATCATCCTGCGACTCTTAACGTGTAATCATTGGATTTTGTTTAATTTGACGCAATAATTTCCTCGGAGATCTTGAAGAAATATTCCTTGGAGTACGTGTCCTTTTTCGTTTTCAAAAGTTTTGATTTTTTTATACCTTGCAATGAATGAACTAATGGTCGTAAATGGAAAATTCAGGTCGCCTGAGATTTTCCTGTAAATTTTACCTTTTTCCAGAGTTTAACAATCTGTTCTTTTTGCGAATTTGTCAATTCCTTACCTCTTGCCATGATGATAACCTTCAAAAACGAGTATCCGCTAAAAATAATATTGGAAATAATAATAATAATATATATATATATATATATATATATATATATATATATATATATATATATGTATGGTACCTAGCGCCATGTGTGAATACACTGCTCCAGCGTTGTGTCGCAATACAAAGATTTATCGATTGCACTAATATCTGGAAAACGTAGAACCATGCTGTCTCCATAGGCCACTACGGCTTTCCGATATTTATGCACCACAAAAACATGAAATTTCTATGATTTATTATCCATATAATTAGTGAAGTTTGTATAAAATATTTCTTATCTCATAAATTAATAGATTTTATTTATTTTTTATGCAATGTTACTTCTTTTCTACTAGTTATATTTTCGTGGGCACACGTGTTTGAATAGACTCCTGTCATTTTCTTTTTAACAATATAAATGGCCTGTGTCTTCGAGAAACTTAATAAAAATGTGGCCTGTTATTTTTTTTCTATGCGAAGACACCCGTCTGATCCGGTGTGCTCTCTGCTATCGAGCGGTCTTAAGTACGATGGTTAAACTGCTGTGTATTCAAACGCTAAAATATAACGTTTGATTAATTGGAAGAATTTCTAATATGCGGTGGTAATAATAATAATAATAATAATAATAATAATAATAATAATAATAATAATAATCTTGTAGCAGGTTGTACGGTGTTGGCACCCACTGAATATAAAACCCGACATGACAGAGTGGGCCAATATCTGCACTGGAAAATCTGCAATTTCTACGGGAAGAAAACTGAAAGAAACTGGTATGAACACCACCCAGACCCGGTTACGGAGATAGGACCTGTTACAATTTTATGGGACTACACAATACACACTGACAGAACAATCAAGGCCAACCGCCCAGATATTGTTATTAAAGACTATAAACAAAAACGGTGCCTCCTTATTGATATGGCAGTCCCTGCCGACTGCAATATATCTTTGAAGATATTCAAAAAGTTGTCAAAGTACAAGGACCTTGAAATAGAAATCGCGAAAATGTGGCATATGGGAACATCAACAATCCCTGTTGTAGTTGGAGCCCTAGGACTGGTTGGAAAAGATTGCAGTAGACTAATTGAAGGGATTCCTGGAAGTCCATGCCTCAAGGAGATACAAAAAATTGTTCTGACAAGTACAGCCCACACCTTACGAAGGGCTTTATCTATGTAATCATTTTTTTTTTTTTTTTTTTTTTTTTTTTGTCAGTGGAAAGTGTCATGACGCCATTTCTAACCTTAGGTCCCTGGGCGGGACCCGGAAAGAAATGTGTAAACGCCAGAAATCAAAGAAAATAAAAACAATAATAATAATAATAATAATAATAGTCAAAGAGCCCCCACCTATTGAAGAATTACAATTAAATTGGGAGCATGTTTCGAACAACCCAAATGAATATAATCCCAATGCAGAGTGGATCAATCGAGAATAAGAAAGAATGAGGGATTAACCTAGAATGCAAAAAATATAATATATCCAATATCCAATATACTGTTAGGTAAGCTCTAACAAAAATGGAAATCCACAAGAAATGACATGGTAACCAACTTTTGGCTCTATCATCTGTCACAGATTCATAAAACACTTGCGTAAACATTATCAATGCTAATTAATAGCCTCAATGAAATCCTAGAATAGATCACTGAAGGTATTACATATCGCTTTTCAAAAACGTTATGAAACAGATAATCAAAAAAACTATAGACCAATAACATGTCTGTTCATTACATATACATTGATCGCGTCTATCCTGACGAACTATATTTACTCTTTTCTCGATGAAAACGAGACCAACTACTAATAAATAAAATGAACCTGGAACATTGTGGGAAAAGAATTAGAAATTTCAGCACAGCTTGGACAGATTACCTTTACGGTAATTTGTCCAAGCTGGAATTTCTAATTTGATAGTGTGCGACACTCTTGTATCCTTCAGGCTTTCGAAATGTACAAAGTCTCCTCGGTTATGGTAAATTTCCTTAAATATAGGCTGGAACTATGGAATACCACATTAAACCTAAACCACACCAATGCTACTGCCACTCCCAGTTTGAATATCTGATGAGGAATCTTTCAATGAGTCTCCCTATCGCCCCTTCTGTTCTGTCTGTCCTTAATCCCGCTTTCTCATGAACTAAACAGTAATAACTATGGATGCAAAGTAGGAAATAAAATGTTTAACCACCTATTCTATATAGATAATATCCAACTCTTTGCCAAAGGCGTCCTGGGTATGACGATAAACTACGTCCAGCAGCAAGGCCTCTGATCAGGATGTTTTGAGGAGTGTGGAACCACCTCTTAATTGCTGGTGTTCCCAGGTTCACCTTGACTTGGCGTGGTAGCACCTGTTAGGGTCCCAGCTATGGGAAAATAGTTGACCCCACAACCTGACTCAAAACACTATGAAAGTGTAAAAATAGATTTTAATACCAGAAATACTTTTAAAAAAAAATTAGTATCAGCAATAAATATTTGAAAAAAATATTATCATAACTAAAAATCTTGTCATCATTAAATAACCCATTGAGGTTAATATGCCACAAAAGAAACCAAACTATACATTTAAAAAATATTACCAGCTATAAGTTTTTGGGAAAAAAAAGGAAATTTCGTCAGCATTAAATAATCCATTGTGGTTGATATGCCGTAAAACAAAACAAAGCAAACACCTTTGCAAAAGACGACAATGAATTGAAGGGTATGCTCAATACTGTAAAAAGTTTCAGGGATGAAATCTCTATAGATTTCGGATTAGATAAATGTGCAAAAGTAACATTCAAGAAACGGAGAATTACAGAAACACACTCATTAAATCTATATTTTGTCAAAATGATCAGGAAAGAAATGTATAAATACCTAGGAGTCAGCGAAGTATACAGCATATCCAAATGAAGTTTAAATTAAGAAAAGAATACTACAGGCATGTGTATCAGGTGTTAAAAACAAATCTAGTGTCGTTGACAAAACTAACCTGGTCGTTCGTCTCGAAAAGGACCTCCAATCGGTTGTGAACTGGAGCAGGATTTGGCTTGTTAACTTTAACGCCTCAAAAACAAAACAAATTTACTCATCACAAAGAACCCCCACCCAGATTAGAATGTCTGACACTCAACTTCTCGAGAGCTCCTCTTTTCGACTGCTCGGTCTCACATTGACTGCTGACCTGAGATGGAACAAATACATTGAGTCAATAGCTTCGTCCACCGCAAGGAAAGTTGGCTCTATGTGCCACGAAAGGAAATTTTTCTAGCCGGAGTCGATCCTTCAAATCTACAAATCAACCATTCGCCCTTGCATGGAGTATTGCTGCCATATATGGTCAAGGGCCCCTTCTGTTTGCCTCAAGGTTCTTGATAAGATCCAGAGACGATATGCAATGTAATTGGCCCTGATCTGGCATCTCGTCTGCAGTCACTCTCTCACAAACGTGCCGTCGCCTACCTATGTCTTTTTATAAATACTTTCATGGTAACTGCTCCGATGAGCTGCTTGCGCTGGTTCCCAGACTTCATGAATTTAAGCGTTCTATAAGGCTGGCATCTCACACCCTTTAACTGTCGAAACTGCTAAATATAGCCATCTCTTCTACTCCAATAGCTTCATCTCTCGCATCTCTCGGCTGTGGAACTCCCTCTCCTTTTCCTGTTTCCCTGATAGCTATGATCTCCAACTATTCAAATGTAATGTCAATCGACGTCTCCATATGCCTGGATCTATCCCCCATCCTTCTCTTCATCCTTTCCTCTATCACTCCTATTTGCTGTCGCTTCAACCTTCTGTAACCCCTTGTGTGCTAATGGCTTCCTGCCTTGCTTGGAGTGAAACGCTTACCCCCCCCAAAAAAGTTGAATTCACAAAAGACAATATCAGTGCAATAGTGCAATACATTTTCAACAGCCTTATGTGGACCATAACTGACATTAAGCGGATGGATGTCAAAATGAGAAAGTTTCTCACTTGCCACCGCATTCATCACCCTAAGGCTGATGTTGATCGTCTATATGTGTCCAGATCCGAAAGTGGGAAAAGATTTGAACTAGAACATTCTTACAAAATAACAATCGGTCTTCAAAGATACATGTAAACTACAGAAGACTGGATGAGGATCTGCGTCAAAGAACATGAAGGAATAAGAACGTTTACTCAATAATAAAGGAAGTCAAAAAATTCAAAAGGGAATTTCAAATAGGTGCAGAAGTGCAAATAAACCATAATACAGCAACTGCAGCAAACAAAGTATCTAAAAAGGAAAGCAAAAGCAAATGCAATGTTCAAAATGCAAAAACGATGGCAAGATAAGCCTCTTCCTGACCAGTACTCTTCCCGTAGTAAACTGATGTCGACAAACCCTGTGCCAATCAATGGTTACGCAGTGTAGGGTTAAAAGCTGAAACATAAGTTTTTATTCTTGCTACACAGAACTAATGTGTTAGTCCGAAATAATATTCTGTAATAAATACCCATCTTGTATCAGTTTGCACGATGTTAGACCCCATTGAATATAAAACTCTGCATGATAGAGTTGGCCAATATCTGCACTGGAAAATATGCTACTTTTATGGGAAAGAAACTGCAAGAAATTGGTATGAACATCTCCTAGGCCCGGTTACAGACATCGGATATGCACACATTTTATACGCACAGACAGAACAATCAAAATTAATTGCCCAGACATCGGGATGAAAGTTCACAAAAACAGAATGTGCTTTCTTAATGACATGGTATTTCCTGAAGATTGTAATGAAAATATTTAAAAAAAAACTATTAAAATACATGGATCTTGAAGTGGAAATCTAAAATATGTGGCACATGAGGACATCAGTAATTCCAGTTGTAGTTGGAGCACTCGGATTGATTAGAAAAGGTTTCGATAAACTCATTGAAGGGACTTCTGGTAGTCCATAACGTTAAGAAATTTAAAATAATAATAATAATAATAATAATGAATTTGTTCAATTCGCTATTGATTTTCTTTAGTCCAAGTCTCAAAGAATCCCACCCACTCTTCAGGTGATGTTGTAATGAGGAATCGGAGAGCCGAGTTCGAATACCATGCAAGTTCTTTAAATTCACTAATGAGAAAATACCCATGAGAGATATATGAATCCATTACATCTCTCTGCAGTTACATCCGTACATAGAAAAATCATTGACATCTCAATAGAATCCTTAACTCGGAAAAAATTCCATTATTCTTCAGCCAGTTCTATGCCATGCGTGATACACTCTTAGGTGATCATGTATCTTTCGATACATGACTGACGAGGCAGATTTTTTCCCCGCAATAGGTTGATTGCGGTAGACCAGTTGCCATAAAAGGCAACAGAACTCGGTCTGTCCTGCTATTTCTTCATAGCCACGGGGAGAAGGAGGGGTTTCATACATTTCCCAAGGGTATTAGCACGTAAGTGAATGTAATGGATTCGAACTCGGCTCTCCGATTCCTCAATCCGAACCGCTATCCATTACTCAACAGTGCCTCCTTATTATTCATACAATCTCAAAAATATGTTTCAGTTCTAAATAGTCTATAAAAAAAATCAAAGGTTGGTAACACGTAAAAAAACAAATCAATAAATTAGAATAACTTCAGGAGTTTTGTCAAGAAGAATGCTGAGAATGCTATGGGCAGACAAAAAGCTTTTTGTTTGGTTGATTTGTTTTTAACGGCTTATCAACCCTTTGCAGTTTATTTAAAGCCAGAACATAGTTTTAGATCGTAAGAATTGTTTTTGAGATAATGATGATCTACTAATATATATTTTACTAATCAAACCAAAGCTGTGGGGAGAAGAGGTGGACCCATAGCTTTTCCAAGAGTATTTACGCGGAAGTAGATATAACGATCAACCACATGAATTTGAACTCGGCGCTCTGATTAACAATTCCGAGCCATTATCCATTACAGCATCCTCACATTCAAGTTTACAGCACCCGGTATTCCCAAACAGTAACCCATTTAGATATTAACTAGGCTCAACGTTGGTTAACCTTGATGAAAGTACGGGAACTTGTATTTCAAAGTGATACGACCGTAAACCATAGAAAAAGTGAGCAACGCGTAAGAACTAAAGAAAATGGGAATTAGAATGACACTCATGCAAAAAATGAGAAAGACAACTGAAATTTCTGAGACACAGAAAGAAGAAGGACGGCTCGGAGAATTTAATACTCAGAGGATTATCGAGGGAAAAAAGGTAAACAACTGACAACTAACCTAATGATTTTGTGTGAATAGATGACGAGGGACGCTAAAAAGTCAGTCATTCTTTAGAGCTACAAGGGACAGGAAGTTGTGGAAAGTCATAATCTTCCACGCGCTGAAGTGAAGTACATAATCAGTTAGGACTTACTTCCATCCTGTATATATTTGTCTTTAGTCAGATGAGACCAAAGGTGGTAGGAATGTCGAACTGAACCCTTTATTTCGCTCACTGACGTAGACTGTCCTAGTTCCACGTGCCATGTCTAATGGATGTCAATTATCAGTTATGTCCTGTTAATTCCCCTCTCCAAGTTCTCCACCGCCTTAAACAGGCACTGAACTCACACACACCTTTATCCAGTATTCCATGTGTCCTTGAGAACATCTCTTTATGAATTTCTGTGTATTATAAACCTAATATCTTGAGCCATAATTTTTACCAGGGCTCATATTGCAATTTCTGCTGTTATTTTTTCATATTTTTACCAGTGTTCATATTGCAATTTTCGTTGTTGTTATTGCTTTTCTCTTATTACTGGTTCCCATATTGTATTCGTTTCTATGCTTGGTCGGCTCAGGGGATTTTTGTGGTCTAGCGTATGTGCTGATTCCTTAAGTTTACGAATTTTCCAATGTTGTTCTTTGTCTATGAGTTCAACCTGATCTCACAGAGGGCGGTGATCTCCCTTTTCTCTCCATATGTGGTCAGCCACGTCTGAAGAAGGCCGGAGAGTACAACGGCCAAAACGTTGTGATAAATATGTCAACAAAGATGAAGACGATAGTCCGAATAATGTAGATAGTGTACATAATACCTCATCTCAGAAATATAAACAGATACTTGTGATATTATGATAAGGATTTTTTTTTTGTCTTCGAATGATGTCAGACATGCGCAAGTCGTATTTTGGGGTGGAAGTATACCTGAAAATAGACCCGCGTTCACCGCCCATAAAAGGCGACAATATGAACTACTGCCGATCTGCCTTGCAGATCTCTTTATTTTTACCTGATCTTTCTTTACGGTGTTCTTATCCCAAGGTGTCGCAATATGATACAGTCACGGCTGTTCAGCTCTGAACCGACTGTTCGGTTGTACTCTTTTCCTACGGACGGGAGGAACCCGAAGGAGGCTACGCCGAAGGGCGGAGTCTCCTTCGGGGAGGTAAAACCGGCCCTGAACCCGTTTATACGGGTTCAATGGGTATATTTTTGGCCGAGCCCACGGGCTCGGAATGTTCACGTTAAAAAGGCCTTGTGCCACATGACACCCTCGTGCGGGGGGGGGGGTGACTGAATATCGTCACGGCTGTTCGTGTACACGCGTGATATCAGGATGACTGGAGGAAGAATTATTATCGCTACTGCAATTTTCCACCGATCATTTTTATATAAAAAATAACCTTAAGATAACACATATTTTACCTATATAAAGCTATTCGTGTGAGTTGTACTTCTGCATATTTGTATTTCTTTAAGGCATGGGCTGCCAGAAATGACATCAATGAATATATCGGAACCTTCTACAACTGGAATTGTTGATGATCTTGTGTACCATATTTTTGAGATTTCCACATCAACATTGTTGTGTTTTGATAGTTATTTTTTAGATTTTGAAGGGACTGCCATGTCAGTAAGAAAGTTCATTTTGTTCTTGTGGTCTTTGACCACGATGTCTTGGTGATTAGCTTTGATTGTTTTGTCTGAAAAAGACCCATAAATAATAATAATAATAATAATAATAATAATAATAATAATTATTATTATTATTATTATTATTTCCAAGTTTTCCTGATTTGCTGTTTAATAAAATCTTTTACCAAGTCTTTTACTTCAGACCTCAAATGAAGAAAGGTTTATCTCAGTAAATCATTGGGTATATTACTTTGAGATTTTGATGTTTATGTCTCAGGTAGCCAGGTATCTAATTTATGTATCAGTATGTCTTTTAAATCAATCCTGGTGATCTTTTAATAGCGGAATACTGGTCGTGTTCAAATGCTGCATTTTTGCAGTTTGAAAATGTGTTAAAATCTTCTGCTGAAATGTTTTTTATTAAACGTAATGGCAATGTATGCGTCTATATCCTATATTGACAATTTGTTCCTGATTTATCCCGACTGTTGAATGGGAAACATTCATCTAGTGGAACCTCTACTGCTGGCTTCAGATCTATACATTCGATTATGATGTAGAACCACAGGCAGGCTCATCCTGGCTCATCACAAGATGCCTGTTTTGTTAGTCAGTTACGTTCTTTTTCGTGCTAATTCCCTTTGGGCAAAGACGGAACCGTTTCTTGTCCCTCCAGTTATGGTGTAAAGACCACGGTAGAATGGACTCTCTCTCTCTCTCTCTCTTTGGGTGGCAACCAGTCTAGGAGAAAAAAGTCTGACTTCCAAAGCGTGGAGAAAGCAAGTCCATCTTTATACATATTTCTTATCCACCTTACTCTTCACGCCTTCACTTTCATTTATATCACCCACCTCATCCAGTAATTCTCTATCTTGAGGGATTCTTGAGCGTTTCATTAGAGGAATGCTAGTATTAAAAATCATTTTGCAAGCCGTCCTTCGCAGATGTTAGAGTCATGGTCACTCATGTCCCGAATGGACATAGCTTCTAAGAAAAAAAAACTGATGTACCTATAAACAATAGGGAATGAAACGAAAAAAAAAACTGGTTTCACTAATGTAACACTACAACGGACAATTATTTTGCTCCAAATTGATAGTTGTCTAATTATTATTATTAATATTATCGATTCCTCGAAGCATTCTACAGCGGCATCATAGCTTTTACAAATCTTTCTCTGTCTCCTTTTGCTCTTGTGTTTCCTTCGGTTGCCGCGTAAATCCAATAACAAAGTACTACACCTTCCACTATTAGTCCCTCGCCCCTACATTTGGCTCGACTAATTCTTGGAGTTCTCTGGCTACTAAAAGACCAAACGTAATTAGTGAAGTACCAACCAACGTAACCAACCTGCCCAACATCTTTCGTTTCCTATCTGACCCTCCACCCCCGCATCTCTTCTCACTGAATAATTTCAGGAAGAACTGCGATGTGAGGGAAGAGCTGAAAACGAACCAATTACCACCAGCCTCAAGGCGCACACTTTCATCAGTCCTTGGCACTACACCTCTGTCCCCATCTCTACCTTGATGACGGACACCGCTACCCACGTTATAATGGTTCGTTGTTAGACATTTCCGCTGTCTTTCTGACTATCGGTCTTTTGCCTTGGCTTCGTAAATCAGGAGTTTTAAGATCTGGTTTTCTCGCTTAACAATTACGTTACTGCAATCTTGGTCTGTCGTCCTCTTTTTTTAAAAACCTTTTTAATAATCACTGTTTGAACTTTATGTTTGTCGCTCAGTATATTGTTTGTTTCTTTCTTTCTGTCTTTCTCTTCTTTCTTCTCTATCGTTCTTTTTTTCCTAACCCCTTTCTTTCTTTCTATCTTTCTTTCTTTCTTTCTTCCGTTCTTTCTTTGCTTCATTCTTTTTTCCTTCCATTATTTCTTTCTTCCTTTATTTCTTTTTTGCGTGAAATTCTTTCTTTCTTTCTTCCTTGGTACCATTCTTTCTTTTTCTTCTTTCCTTACTACTTCTTTCTTTCTTTCTTTCTTTCTTTCTTTCTTTCTTTCTTTCTTCATTGATTTTGTTTCTCTCTTTTATTTTTTCCTTCTTATTACTTCTTGCTTCCCTCATTATTTCGTTCTTGTTTTTATTTCTCTATCGTTTCACTTACTCTCTTCCTTTTCTTTCTTTCTTTCTTTCTTTCTTTCTTTCTTTCTTTCTTTCTTTCTTTGTACCCTTCTTTCTTTTTTATTCTTTGCTTACTCTTTCGTTCGTTCTTTCTTTGTACCTTTTTTCTTTATTCTTCTTTGCTTCTTTCTTTCTTTCTTTCTTTCTTTCTTTCTTATATTTTCTGCGTTTTCTTCTTATAAACCAGTCACTCATTTCCTTTTATATACTAATGTGACTTTTAATTATTGTACATCTATTTTATTACATCACTCTTTGAGGACCGAAATAACTACACTAGTGAATTCCATGAGAAGAACATGCTATCCAACACGATAGAGTAGTCACCAAATTACAATTACATACAAAACTTCTACAAGTCATTCAAGATTTCACAGAAGTGGGCATTCACAGAATCGAACTAATTACTCTAGCGAATCAGCCAAAGAGACGTCAAGTTTGCTTATCGCAGCGCTGTTTCAGGAGCCTCACCTGCTCGCAGGATTGGCGAATTATTCCTCGATATCGCTATGAGGTAATAAGTTTAGGCAGAGGAAGACTCGTTAACCACTTACTTTCAATGACAGTTATTAGTGCAGGAACCGTGGCGTGTGGTAATCGCTAACGAGTTTACTTTGTTTAACCATTATTACATAGAAAGCCGTTCGATTCCCAATGGATGCTTCGGTGTTAAATGACACCTGCTGTCGAGCGGTTGCGAGCAAATTTTCGACTCAGTTTTGAAAAGATACATTGCAGTAAAAAATTAGGCCTTTTTATTCTTATACCCAGGATTAAATTGTTTTTTTCTTCTATTTTCAGAGACTCTAGTTCTCGTATGGTGAGTTTTACTTCCACTTTTAGCTGTTGACTAAATGTATTATATAATTATATAAAATGAGTGATATTTTAAATGCTAGTCTAGCAGTCCTTTGTTTTTATCGTCTCGTGCTAGGAGAATGTAAGCTGGTTAAATTTACAGTAAGATTTGATACATATATATATATATATATATATATATATATATATATAACAGTGATCTCATCTCACAATCCTCACACTTGCTCCATCTGTGGAATCCTTTGTAAATCACTAGCAGGTCTTAAATTCCTCTTAAGATTATCGCACAAACTTTCATAAGTGAATCAATAAGCTGTCAGATCCACATACGTCGAAACCGACGGGAGAGTCCATTATTATTATTATTATTATTATTATTAATATTATATACCGGGTGTAACAGCAAAATTGTCCAAATTGTGTTATAGCAAAATTGTCCAATCCTGTCTATTGCTACCTCATTTTTAACTTATTTACTTTTCTCTTGATTCCTGAATGGACTTAGAAGATGGATGCCAGATTAAGAATTTTGGTACAATTACTGAAGTTCTGAATGGTCTTTTTCGTCTCGTCATTGTTCAGCTGGGAAGATATAGTGGGATTGGCACAAAACGATTTTAACCTCTTCTCTTTCCAGCTTAATAGCTCAAAGGGTTTTTCAGTGATTCTTACGACAAATGGTGTCAAGATGGCTAAACGGTTATACTGAAAATCTGGAAAAAGAAACTCAATTAGTGTACTGTTTTTTGAGGGGATGGGCAATTATCGCATGCTGTTACCCGATTTGGACAATTTTACTGTTACATTCGGTATATGCACACTTTTGTGCAAGTGTGGGTAGTGTAAGAGATATCGGCACAAAAAGTGGAATAGGCAAACAGAGTTCAAATTCCGATCTCGTCTAATGCGTTTACGTTCATGCTAATATTCCTGGGGATGGTTTGAATTTCTCTTTTCTATCCTTCGCGATAGTTTGAATAGCAGGTTAAACTGACCTCTTTAACCTTGGGTGTGAGCCAGGTAAAAAGAAGTTAAAATGGAATTCCAAAACAGTGAAGAAGGCAATGAAAACACTCCAATGTCTTTCCCAGGTAGATATGGCAATTCACAGATGATAAAGAAAAATGGTATTAAAATAAGTAGACATTTTTATTTTACAGGACTAATTATTTTCGTATTCTTTCACAGATGCTAGAGATGATAAATAATGACGGAAATGTCATTTAAAGAGAACATTCTTTCTGAAGTTCGACAGGAATTGTAAGGACGTCGGTGTATGCAAAGGCTTTTAGAAAGTATTTCTCAAAAACAGTTTCTTCGTATTTAATTGTTCCCTAATTTTTAATCTTCACTTTCTTTCTTTCTTTCTTTCTTTCGTTCGTTCGTTCGTTCGTTCTGGGTATGAGAACAAACTATATCCGGCAACAAATCCTGTGATTAGGAGATTCGAGCTTTTGAGCCTCTTAATTAATATTGTTCCCAGCTCCACTTTAACCTAGGTAGTAGCACCTTTTAGGGTCCCAACTATAGCCAGTTAGTGAACCCCTAAACAAAAACCAACCGTTCGTTTTTATAAACTAAGAGTACATCTATATAGCAAAATAACAATTAATGCAACACTAAATAAATATATTTACTAAAAGTACATTTTATGATTTACAAAATATATATCTAAAAAAAATATACCTTTAGCCGGAAAGTATAAAATTATGTACAAAATATCTAAGTAGTTGAAAGCATTAAATTACGCATTTAGATTTCGGCATTAAATGACCCATAGAAGTGTTAATATGTGGCCAAACAAAATTAACCATCGAAACAACCAAATTGAAACAAAAGTTTCATGACATTAGTCTATATAATATCCTACAAATTCTTCGATCAAACGGTATTCCAAAACATAATTTCAACAAAACCTTTCAGTAATCATATCCACATAAACATGTATATACACAAAATCTGAGTATTATCTACCATGTATTCAGTTGTGAAAGCAGAATAACATATTCTATTTTTATTACTTCAAAACCCCCACCAAAATTAAATTTCGGCATCAAATAAACTTATAAGGAGTTGATACTAAGTTTCTAAGCGTAGCTTAGATGTGACACAAGGCCGAAATTATGGGGGCACCCAGCAAGGATCTAATTAACTCTCTAGTCGTAACTGTTTTAGCTAGACAAGCTTGCTAACCATTACACTACGCCGAAGTGCCCCCATAAGGAGTTGATATGTTGTTAAGCAAACAAATCAATCAATCAATCGATCGATCGATCTTTCTTCTAATGGAGATTTCGTCGTCTATTCTCTATCCATTTTTAATTAAAAATTAGATCTTTCTTTCATTCTATTTTCTTCTATTTGCATGCCTTTCTTAATTTGAAATCAATTCGTCTTCTCCCTTTTCTTGTCCGTAAAGTGCAAAATCCTTTAGAAGGCGTCTTTCAAACAAATACATCAACACATCATTTTGAAAATGGATTTTTCCTATAGGAATATCTAAAAGATGAATTTTACCGGATAATTCCTGTAACCATGATTGAGAAAAAGGAATATGCCTGAATTCCAAATGAACTGCCTTAGACATGTCCGGGTGTCGTAAGGGTTATCGATGCGGTCTGTAGAATTGGCGAGAGGAATTGAAATTTCATCGTCATCGGTTGATATTTATTTCGCATTAATTTTATTTGGAAAGGCATGAATCTGTTCTTTTCTCCTCCCATTTATCGGCTAAATAGCAGATACAACTAGGATCTCTAAACTTGGCAAGTATAGGAGAAAGACAAGTTTGAATATCTAACCGTGGGGAATTCATAGCATTTACGTCATCATTAAGAAAAGAATATGTGGCGAGACATGATCACTAATGCTCTGAAGAGTCCTGCCATATTTTAAATTATAAATCTTCGATAGAGCCTAATTAACACCATGTTTACAGCTACATTACGTTGAAACAACAATTTTCGCACGATCACAGACCATATCACTTTGAAACACCAGATCTCGTATGACCACCGAAGTAAAGCAACGTCAAGCCTGGTTAGTACTAGTGACCACTTGGAAATATTTAGAATGCTGTAATCATTGATGTGCGGGTGGTGTAATGGATAATGGCTTGGAAGTGTTAATCGGGGAGTCGAGTTCCAATTCCAGTTAGCTTTATTCTATTTACTTACGTGCAAATACCACTGGCAAAGGTAGGAATTAATCTAAATGGTATGAAGGATAAATTGTCGTCTAAATTATGCAAAAATGAAAATAACACTGACATTTCATTTTAACAGATATATTTACCAAAATGACACAATATATCTTGAAATGCTAGAGAGTAAATTTATTCAATAAAATCGCAATTGGCTTCAACCACAGCGTCCAGACGACTTCGAAATCTCCTGCAACAATTCTGGACGGTCTCCTTGTTGAATTTAGTGAATGTTGCCATAATCCTTGCCTTCAGCTCATATTTGGTGTTACAAAAAGTTGATCTCTCGCTCAACTGCATCCCGCACATAATAATCAAGGGGGTTTCAGTCTTGGGAGTTAGGGGGTCAGATGTAAGAGAGGATGTAATCGCTGAAATTGTTTGACAGACTGGAATCTTCTTTTTTGGTGCAGCGTCCTTTTGTCAGATATAGAGTTCAGTAGTAACCACCCTCTCTTCCCCAGGTAAACACTACCTCTCTGAGGTACTTGAAGTAGGCCTTCATGTTGAATGAGGTCCTCACCAACCAATTCGAGAGTTCTTTTCTTATCAAAACGATCATAATGAGTTTTCCGAGCTACCGTATCTTCGTAATCGCCATTAGCCTCATCCAACACTTTCCGAATCCACTGCACTGTCCTCAGATTGACACCCAGACATACTGAAATGTTTGTATTGGAGTTTCTGGCGCGAATGCCAAACAGTACAGCATGCCGTTTCCAAATTTTTGGTGAAGTGAATTGCGTCATGGTGCTCTTTTCCTCACAGACGGTATCCAACTGACCCTACCATACTGTGCAGTCGACCTAATAAAAAAAATGGCGACAATTTGTCTATCGTACCCTGCATTCTATCGCCAAGATATGGGTTAATTAGTAAGATTTGTATCACTAAGTCATTGTTAGAGTTAAGAAATAAAATGTCTTACAATCTAAAAATATATTCTGTCTTTAAATAAACTGCAAAAGATCGATAAGTTTTAAAAAACGAATCAATCAAACCAAATTAATTGTCGTCGTGTTAAGAAAATATAAATGCACGTACAAACTGTTGTAATATGCCCATTGAACCCCGTAGTGGGTTTTACACCCTGAAATAGAATCCGTCCTTCGGCGTAGCCTCGTTCGGGTTCCTCTCCGCCAGAGAGTTCAACCGATCAGACAGTCGACTGACTGACCAACTCACCGAGCGACTGTACTAAGTCGGTGGGAGAGTTTTAAAATAGGTTCGACTTAACACTCATATATTAATCAAAATGCAAACAAAAGAACTTTTGCTGTTGAGGAAAAACTTGAAGAATATAATATATAATTCAATACGGTTGATATTCCTTTCAATTAAATAAATGGGATTTTGATATTCCTAATCAAATGGGATTTTGTATGTGCCAGTGGATTTCTTAGGGTCAAGATTGTTTAAAAGTCATGAAACTTCCCTGTCTGTAATCAAATACGACTGAGTTTGTGATCAGTGAGAAGGAGGAAGTCGGGAAGAGGATGTCTTATGTCATCTAAAGTTGAGTTGGAGGCAAAGATTTACGTGAAGAGCTTCACCTTATCCGACGAGGAAGAGATGACCTCCGGACCATTAATAATAGTGGACACAGACGTTGTGCCGCTATTCGGAATTTGGTTGGAGATCTTCCAGAACAGTTTGTTTTCAACCTCGGCTTGGACCGCTTGTGCGAAGCCACATTTTGCATTTTCTAGAAACGTAAGAAAAAAAAATCCACCTCGTTTTTTAAGAAAGACTTTCATTAATGCATGCCTCTTGTTATTCAAAATAACGTAAAGCAAAGAAACAATTTCCACTAATTTATATGTGAAAAAAAAAAATAGCGTTCCTGGCCGCCCAAAATAAAGTTTTATGTCTGCCTGACTCAATGTCGAAAGCGTGGTTCGTCGTCTACTGTTATTTAAAATATCACATCATTCCGTGATTAGACTCGTGTGCTTTATCTGTCACCGACTACTTTGTAGGGATTTTACACCCCTGCCCTAAATATAGGCTCCTCTTCAAAATTAAAGTTATACTTTTCTGCAAGCATTAAAGAATTCTTGATGACAGCGACAATCTCGGCAAAATTTATGTTCGGTTTTGGAATGCTTTCAATATATTCTTTATAAATGAATAGTAGTTTCCGGTTTTGGAAATGTTTCAAACGAAACAACCTCCTTTTCATACGATCTGTTCCACATTGTTTACATCTTACAGAAAATTATCCAAGTAATTTCTTCAATTTCTCTTTTATTTCCAGTTCATTCGCTTCCTTTTCATTCACTTTGTACACAGCTTCATTTTATTTTCGATGATTTAAAAATCCCTTTCCTGGAAATTTCTCATGTCCATTTTCAATATTTCTTCTTCCATCTTTTCTTAATTTTCTATTTTGATTTACGCATCTTCTGTATTTCGTTCACATCCTAATCTCAACCTGCCCTCTTTTTTTTTTAAATGTCAATCTTTAATCTTAATACAGACTTTCGTCTTCCTGTTCTTATTACCTTTTTTTCTGTTTATTCGTTTCTATTTTAATTTGGGATTTTTTTCTTTAATTTTATGAGAAAATTTCTCATTTTCTCAATCAGTTTCTCGTCAGCCAATTTTCCTATTTTCCCTGTTTATATTTTCGTTTTTCACACTTTCTCTTCTTCTCTTTAGTTTCAACTTGACATTTTTTATGTCTTCGCCGTCTTTTCCCCCCACGTTCGGTTCTACGTAAGATTTTTATTTTTTTCCTTTTAGTCTTTCCATCGACTTTGATTATCAATATCTTTCTTTCTTTCGTTATTTTTTCCTTTTTTACTTTATTTTTCTTTTCACTTTATGTACAAAATTTAATCCCTTCTTTCTTTCTTTCTTTCTTTCTTTCTTCATTTATTTCTTTTCCTTCTTTCTGCTTTTCTTTCCTTCTGGTCCTTTCACTTGTTTTCTTATGTTCCTTTCTCTCTGTCCTTTTCACTTCTATCTTTTTTTTTCTGTTTCGTTCACTTTCTTTCTTTCTTTCTTTCTTTCTTTCTTTCTTTCTTTCTTTCTTTCTTTCTTTCTCACCATGATTTGA